AAAGGAAGAGTTTGAAGGTGGGCAAGCACACAGCTCAGCTGTGCTATCAACAAGGTGTTTCCAAAGCTGATGAGCAAAGCACTTCCTTTTTATGACAAGTGAAGAAAGGAGCAGGGCAGTATTGAAATATGTGTGGTAGGAGCCCCGTTCATCTGAAGAGCCTCCATTCAGGGCCTTACAAAGGCTAGGAGTCGACTGCAAAGAAAGGAGGCATTTCACAGAAACTGAAGTGTGACCCTTTGTTTTGCCTGACCCCAAGGTCCTCGGTGACACAAAAGGGGACCCCAGCACTGATTCTGCAGCAACAAATGCCTGTTGTGAGTGAGTGTATTTGAGGAGAAGTGACAAAAAGGAATGACCCAAGGTTCTTGTTTCCAGCCCTTGTTTCCCAAGGGACTGTCAAGGAGGGCAGCCTGACTGAGGTGGGGAGATGAAGGTGCTGGAAAGCTCTTCCTAGTGGATGCATTTCCCTTGAAAACCTCTCCTGAAATGCATGATCTGATCATCCACATGTACTATTAGGACACCTGGATAATGAGGTTTTTTGGACTTTGCTCTGCAAAGTCTATAGAAATTAATACGTCTTTTACTCAGCTGTTACGTGAAGTGGGTTTTTTTCTAATTTAGCACTGGCAAGGGATTAGAGTGTCTTAGTAGCCCTGCCTTTGTTTTAACCTTCCATTAGTCCATGACTACTTTCTTTCACAATCAAAGTAGACATGAAAGGGATGTTTTCCTTTGCTCTTTTCATTATTGCAGAGAGCCATAATTCCCTATTAAAGTTCACGATGGAATCAGGGTGCAGAATGATGGATTTAAAGGTATCATAAAACTCTTCCTGGTAAGTAGTAGTCCCCAAATATATTCCAGTTGTGACCTGAGAGAGGCTGCTAGAGGCATCCCAAGCAGCCATGCACTGGCTCTGCAGATCCTTTGAGCTGAGGAAATTCATTTGCATATGGATGCCATGCTAAGGAGGCCAGCCTGGATTTCATTACTGCTAATGATGTGTGTGGGAGAAGTGATTTAGTTTATAGCCAGTGCCAGGCATGCCACAATGAGGAAGTACTTAATTCATACAAAGCTCTTTCTTGCTTCTAAGACCTAAAAATCAGGGGACTTCAAGCAGCTCCAGTGTTACAGACGTGGTGTCTTCATGATCATGAACAGAGCTGTGACTGAAGCAAGGGAGGGAGAGAGAAGGAAACATCAAGATGTAGTATTGATGTCATAGAGGAAAGGATAGGAGGAGAAAGGAAAGGGAATAAAAAGCAGAAGAGAAGAAAGACCAATGGAGGATGAAAAAAACCAGCAGGGAGAATTGGCTCTGCAGGAGCTGTGCCTGCCAAGGCTGGATGTTTGGACATTGGAGGTGACAGAATTTTCACTGGGTCTTTGCTATAGTTTTCACAAGCAGGCCTGCAGTTAGATGTCCATCTTCAGAGACAAATTTCTGAGAACTGGAAAGGAGAAAAGGGACCCCAGGATACCACTGGAGTTGGAGTAGTTGGGAATTGCTACACTGCCTGAAGGTATCTTCTTACTCCACTGGAGCCACCTCTGCTTTCCTGTTCTAATAGAAATTGCCCCAGACAAGGGAGAAAGGAGAGGGGCCTGGGGGCAGGTTCCTGGCATCTGCTTCAGAGGTTGAAGGGCTGAACTACAATGCTCAGGCAACTTCAGCAGCAAGACACTGAACTGGGATCAGTGTCTTGGGTGGTCTCTCAGCTCTGAGTGATAAATTCATCAAGCAGAAGAAAGGATCCAGAAAGAAGGAATGGGTGAGTGAGGCAAATTAATCAGAGGGATTAAGGTACACCATACAAGCATGCTGAAAGTGTCTAGAGCATGCACTGGCCCCAGGACAGAATTTAAAAGGTTGAGAAGGCTTGGAGGAGGAACTCAATTCTGGGGTTTATGGGTACCAACCCCTCTGGGGCTTATCATTGCAGAGGGTAGCAGGGAAGAAGGGCTGTGAGCTGCTATCCATTGCTTGGGCACGGGACCTGACCATCCATCTGCAGCCCACAGTATGAAAACCTGAACAAAGATCTTTCAAGAGGAATTACCCCTGCCTTATTCATGGCACAGCAGCTGGTTGTAATGAATTTTAACTGTTTGGCTGCAATCACCCACAATGCATGCAATCAAAAGGGTTATGGCCCTGCTCACTCCTGCAGCAGCCTGGAAATGCTATCTCTGAAAATACAGGGCAGTTTTGGGAACCTTGATTTAAGCATTGTTGTTCTGCAATTTTCTGAAGAGGGAAATCAGCTGGTCAGTTGGACAGGGGGAATGTGAACACCACTTCAGTAATCTGTGAATGGGAAACGCAGTTTGGAGAGTTCCCTGATTTCTGCTTCATCGAGTTGAACTCAAAGGGTATGGAACAGTGACATTTAGCTGGGGTTACTGGAAATTAAATATTGTTTACTTGATATTGCAATTGAATTCGGAACAGCTGTAGGACGTCTTTAAAGAACAAGTCCCAGCTTTAGCATTTGTGTGTCCCTGAGAAAATACTGAGATTTGCTGAACTGATGGCCTTTGCATGTGGTTTTAGGCCAACTGTCGCCTCCTGAATGTTTTAGTATGTGCAAGTCACTTAAGATCTTCATACCAAGCTGTCTGAAAACCGCACACAGACTTCACCAACTAGAAGAAATGAGAAAGATGATTTATCACAAAAGAAGAAGCAGGAATCAGCTAAATTTAGAATTAGAATCAGCTAAATTTAGAATCATTCAGAGATGATATGAAGAGCAAAGGTGAGACAAAATAAAGTGCAATTATTTCCCAGACCAAGGGAAAAAAAAAAGGAGAAAAAGAGATTATGCCAATGCATAATTTTTACCGGGCCTCTGTTGCCAGACTGAATTGTGTTGGGAATGGCTCATTTCTCCTCAGCAACAACAGCAGGTTTTAAATAATGCTTCATATTTCCCAGGTTTAGCAGATGAAGAAAAGTAATTACTTGGGAGGCAAATAGAGCTGATTTGCAAACAGAGGAGAATGTTTTATGGCCAGACTTGCAAAAATTTGCAGATGCCAGAAGACTCTGCATCTGCTTTAATCAATGTGGGTTGGTCCTTGTTGATTATTTCTTTGAGATCCTCATGGTTCTTAAGACAGTAATTTTATATTGTCCAAGACAAGGTGATTGTGCAACTTACCTGCAAATTCAAAGTGCACAGCTTTTGAACTGTAAGAACTTCTGGTTCAGAGAAGTCTGAGTTTTGTGTTTTGTTTTGTTTTTGAAATGTCATTGTTCTTTCATGTTTGCATTTAGGATCCATTGGCCTTGAAATGTTGCACGGCTGGGCTTGCAAACACTTGGCTTCTACAGACAGCAGAAGACTTTCTATTTGCTCTGATCTTATTATTTCTTTGAGATCCCCATGGTTCTTGGGGTGGTAGCTATAAACCATCTACAGCTACATCAACGTTAGGCTTTTCTTCATGCAGAGGGCAACTCACCAGCAGATTGAAGCTGAATGTCTGCTCAGTTTATTAGCAAATGACCAAGAGAAAAACAAAAGAGCCTGGAAATGCTGAGCAATGCAGTGGTGGGTGTAGAGACACCCTGTGGTGTGTCACCTTGACTGCTTTAGTTTTCATGATGGTTGAATTGGGTTGCAGCGTGATGGGATTTGGTCTCCCTGTCTCCCTGTTTACAGTGACCCTGCTGTAATGTATCTTCTTTAAGATAAGATCTTCTTTAAACATAAGAGGCAAGGAGAGAGGGGAGAGGGCAAGCAAGCACTGTATATAGCATCTGTAACATTTAATTATATGAGACAGGGATTTTCCAATAGGCCTTGCAACACAAAGAACATTCAGCTATCAGCATCACAGTATATATTTTCTAAATCACAACACCCACACATTTCCTTAGCCAAATAGAAGTTTTCCCTCCATGGCTGCATATCTAAAATTAGCCTGAAGGTCAAATCTGAATAGAAATACCCTTATCATTGAATGTGCTGGGAATGATTGGTGCAGTGGGCTCAATTTTCCCATCGAAAACCTTCATTTATTTTTTTAAAATAACAGTTGCTTTTACAGTCAAAGAGCTTGGAGAAAGGCAAAATGAGGCCTGCTGTATAAAATCAACATCAATATTCTGCTTTCACTGCAAGGCTATTTTTATTGCCAACTATTTTAAATGTAACAAGATGGATACAGTGAAGCCACAGTGTAAAAGATGCAGCAAGAGGCTTCTGAATAGCAAGGCTGAGCAGAGACATATGAAAGAAAGGCCTTGGAACTTGGAAGATGTTTGTATATGAAGAAAGACACAATGAAGAATTCTAAGTTAAGAAATGCATTGTTGAGAAGAAGTGAATAGTTCAGGTCTAAAAATAGTTTTTTAACCTGCAGTTGTATTATGTGAGGACTAAGCAGCCTATGCTGCATAAACTCAAAAGCATCATCCTGCAAGAAGTGCATTTATCAGCCACAGTGTTTTATTGAGTGCTTTAATAATACAAGTGTACATCAACTGATCCACAGTCAAAAGTGGCAGGTCCCTAAGAAATTTACAAGCACTTTTTTTTTTGTTTTTTAAGTAAATCAAAATACATATTAATTTGTTCAATGCAATAGCCTTTTGTGTGGGAAACAGAAGGCTAGTGATAAACACAGTCTTAGTAATGCACAGTGATTCTTGATTTTAAGCTTTTATACAAAACTTGTTCCCAGTAGCATGCACCCACCATTAAAGACTTCAGTACAAAAAAATAACCCTAAACACTACATTTAAGTAGAAATGAGATATAATTCTGAATTTGTTTGTTTTCCCCAAAACCACATGAAAGAAAAAAAAAAAAACAACCCCACACATTAATACAAAGCTTTCTGATAAAGCTCTATACTATTACAGATCCAACATTCTTTGCACTGATAACCAAAATTCCCTGTCTACATTTGAGGGAAACAACTTTCAAGTTAACAGAACAAAAAAACCCAGAACAAATAAAAATAAAAAATAAACCAAAAATGAAACAAAAAAAAAAAAAAAAGGAAGTAAGGACAACCTTTTGTCACAAAATGGTTCAAGATTTAATAAAAAATAAGAATGAAGGGAAGGGCTATTGATGCACTTAGTGAATGTGCTTGCACAGGTCCAGCAAATCCTAGAGGAGGCTCCTATGTGGCGTATCGCTTGGTCCACTGTCTGGCCATTCTGTCGTGCTCTGCTCTGTTAGTCATGTACTGAGTGGCAATGCTTCCAACCAGGGGGTCAGCTGAAAAGGAAACACAAACAAAAACAAAATGTGAAATGCACGCCAGCCCTTTTTTAGATCCACATTCCTTCAGTTCTCTTAGGTCTGTCAAGGTGCCCACACACACCAGCCTTGTTTTCAAAGCAGGGAAGGAAGGAGATGAAGGTGAGATGGATGGCAATTAGCTAGACATGTCTCATAAACATATAACTGAAACAATTATCTGTAGTTCTACCTCACAAAAAAAAGTTCTGATAATTTTATTTTGAGCTAAAACTCACCTTCAGGTGATGTAATTTATTTATGGTATTAGAACTTCCACAACTATTCATATTCTGACCTAAGAAGAGGATGAGCTCTAATTCTATTATCAGGTTGAATGTTGCTTTTTTTCTTTAAAATACTTTTAGTTTCAAAGCATAAAGAAATGTAAGGAATCAGGCGCAGCAAGTACTATTTTCAAAGCAACAGAAATTAATTCCAAATAATGGGATTTTAAAATTTAATTTATGGGATCTTTCTGAGCATTCCTATGTCCAGAATGCTGCATGATATGGTTTGGATCTATGAATTACTTCACAAATAATTAATCAAATCCAATCAGTCCCCTAAACAAAACAACCCAAGACAAGACATTCCCACAAACGACTGTATTTCATCAACTTTTTTCTTTTTCAGACAACATTTTTTCTCATTTTAAGCAGACAAAATTTATATTTTCCCCCCTTTTTTGAGGGGAACACATGCTCTTGATATTTCTGCTGCAACAGTAAATGTTCTGAGATTGTACCATGCATCTCCAGAGGCACTGATACCACACTTTTTCCTGACTTAAGACAGATGAAGCTGACTTCTTGTGAAAGCCAGGTATTAATCAGCTTTGCTGTTGTCTGAAGATGGTGCCACTGAACAATCTGGGCATTGGCTTTCTCGGTGCAGTTGTAATCTGAGCGCGGTGCTTGAACTGTTAACCATGGAAATTCCCAGGACAAGATGTCAGGCCTTCTGTCAGGCAGAGTCAATCTGGACTTTTTTGTTTGGTTGTTGATGATAAGAGTTTGTGATAGGGGAAACATGTTGGCTTAGCCAAAAATTGCTTCATTGGCTGACTGCCAATCTCACAGAATATTAGTGAGTAATAGTGAGTAATTAGTGAATATTAGTGAGTAATATCTGCTAAAAAAAATTCTTTCGCTTTCCTTTCCATGCATAACCTGCACTTTCAGGAAGAGCCTGTGATTTGAATGTTAAGTTTGTACCTTCTAAATTAGCAAGACAAGTTATCACCATGACTGCAGTGTACTAAGTCCCTGCAGTCTCAGTCCTGCAAACAGTTTACTGCCTGTGCTTACCTTTAATATCTTAATATACCCAGAGGAGGTCACTGAGGCCTGGACTGGATTATTTTTACATGCATGTGTGTAAAAGAAGTGTATCTGATCTAAGATAAAATTTAAAAGTTGTAAACTGGAAAGTATATCACCTTTAACTCCACAGCCAGGAAGAGAAACTGTATAGGGGATTATCTGAGGGATTTTGTCCTGTGCAAACAGGAGGTTAACAGTCTACAGGCTCTTAAGCAGCAAAAAGTTATTTGTGGCTGGAATGAAGTTTGAGAAGCACTGCAGGGTAAATGGGGAACCTGAGCAATAGGAAAGGGCAACATTTCTCTTCACAAAAGGTTTCCCTAAGTAGCAACAGTGAAACCTTGTCATAGTGTAATGGCAGCTTGGGGATGAGTGTGAGAGCACTGCTGAAAATTCCCACATCCTCCTTGGACACAAGGCCCCTGTGCAAAGAAACACTTCCACAGACTTGTGGAGAAATGGAGACTAAAGGTTGAACTTGAAAGGAATCTTTGAAGCAAAATTTGAGGCATATCCTGGTTTTCATGCTTGTAGAGGAAGGTGGGGTTTGGCCTCTGAGGCATCTGGCTGGGAAGGGTTGCAGGAATATCACAGCTTTACCCTCTGGAATGTGGCAAGTGCTTATTGAGGTTTAGTGTGTATTTAAAGTGATGCCTCTGAGATCTTTATAAAACCTTGTATGAGTCAATGAACAGTGATGTGCTGTAGTAAAGTTTATCTAGTTCAAATCTGGAAGTTTATTCATGCGCAGGATGAATGTTTCTGCGAAAGCGTGAATTTCACATTGGGAGCTGTAAATTGATTTCCTCGATATACTGCAAGGCTACTGAGGATCTCATCATCATCCCCAAACCTCGATGATAATTAGAATGTTTGGTTTCTTGGTGTGGGGTTTCCTCTATATCTCCTTTTAGGAGCAAGAAGGTATTTCAAAACCATACATCTTTACAAGGCTTTGGAAGGTACAGGCTCTTCCCCCAATCTCCTTCCAGCATGGGACGGTGTCTCCTTTCCTTTGGGGTGAGAGAATCAGTGAGAGGTGTTCTTGGTAAGGTGTGGAAATGTGTTCAAGTCCAGGAATGTAAAGAACCGGGCTGTTTATTTATCCATGTGTTCAAGCCTTTGTCTCTGCAGTGTTTTGTTTGGCAGCTGAAAGAGTGGAGGTGACGGCCTGTCAGATGTCTGAGGTCTACAAAGCTTTGGTTGTGGGTGTGTAAATTCCTTCTGAGTGACCTGAGAATCAACTCTCAATCATCTCAGGTGCTTCCCCCAAGCCAGTGCCTCCCTTCACTGGTGTCTGCCTGTATGAAGCAGGACTGTGGAAGCAAAGAGATGTCCTTGCTTCCTGTAGCATGAGCAGGACCAGCTGCACCCACAGCCAGCTGCAAAGCGAACACTACTAAAAGGTACTTTCAGTAATTACAGCAATAACATTGATTTTTTTCAATTTGGCTGTGTGTTTTGCTGGTTATAACAATATTGAATAAAAAACCAAACCCACAGTTTGGAACAGCCACTTGTTCATTTGAGAGCAAGGAAATTATTTCAAGGAATAGGAAAATAGTTATTGACAGCAAGGCTCAGCTAGTTCACATCTCTGTCAGAGGGTCTGGAGGTTTGTCACATGTAAATATGTATGAGGACTTAAAAAAGGGCACTTTAATAGGTGCTTGAAGAACTGGCTTTTTAGCAGTTGCTGTGAAGCCATAAAGCCATCAGAAGGCACAACTGCTTTGATTGGGAAGCCAGGACAGCTGGCAAGGAGGGAAATGTAAACTTCAGACCAGAGCCACCCAAGCAGGGGCGCAGCGGCCAATTTGAAGCTGCATTTGTGCCACAGGATGTAAAGACAGTGTGTGTGAGCTCCAGAAATGCCATTGGTCTCTCCCTGCAGCTGTGTGGGCAGCTCCAGGCAGCAGGTCCAAGGAGACACATCTCTCAACACTTCATGAGTCACGAGCCACCACTGCTGCGCAATTCGCCGTGACGGGCGGGCGTAACACCGAGATTACAAGATAAATTGAAGCATCTTAATTAAAACAATTAAAAGATTTAACTCCCAACATGCACAAGCCTTGGCTATAGTGCCCAAGTCTTACAAAGTCTCAAGTATGAGGAAGAAATCCTACAGAATACCAAGTATGAGGAAGAAACAATGGTCCCCATTTACCCCCCTGTGCTATGAAGCACATGGCTGAGCACCACCTGGTGCTCAGCTGGGCTGCACTGCTTAAGGGTTATTGTGAAATATCCATTAGTAGGGCCAAATATGTATTTATAAAATAACCACTGCATAAACTATCTAATTAAGAGATGAAAAGGAAAATTGGATCTCAAAATTCATAACAACATTTTTCTTTTGTTTCCATTTCCCACTACCAGAAAGCTTTCTTATTTTCCATTTGTATATATCTGTATTTTTAATCTTGATGCAAGAAATTTGTTTCTATAACTAGTCAACTGCTCTAGTTTTTAATGTTTTTTTTTTCCTTAAAGAAGTAGCATGATTCATCAATGAATCAGGGTTGATTTCAGAATTTTACTCTAAACAGGACTTATCCAAATGACAACAATTACCAGGGGATAGGAGTATAAAGCTATGCCAGGATTGTGTTGCTGAAACAATCTTGTGAAAGAAATTAAAATAAGCCTACAATAAATTAATAAAAAAGCATATCTATGCAACTCATGGCCTGGCAGGAGATCACCAGATGTGTGATGGCTGGCTTGAGAGCTGGGATGGCACCCTCTGTGCACAGCTCCTTCCCTGTCCTGTGGGCAGGAATGGGCTTCCCAGCCTTTGGAGTGCTGGTGGCTGTGCCAGCCTGAAGGAGCTGCTGCAACTCTGGACACAGAAATCTTTCGGCCTTGTAATTTACTATTTCTTCTAAAACCCCACCCTAGGATGCCTCCATAACCTTTAACTTGTGTGAAGGAAATTTTTTATCCTGTACTGTGATTAACTCCATGCAAAATATTAACACACCAGGAATTACAGGATCAAATTTCACATCACAGGACAGTGAATGAGTAAGGAAAATGTTTAAAAAAGGCACCATATTATACGGGCAAGGACAGAGGCTATGGTTCAGCAATGTACTTTACAAGGAAAATGTCAATCTAAATAACTAGACTATGAAAAAAATCTTCTGGATGATTTATAGGAAGTCTGCAGCTGCTAAATCCCTCCTCACCTCACCATATGTAATCCTCATGTTATATTAGAATTCATGAAATTGCCCTGTATTTATGTGATTTTGAAAGCTGGGTGAGCTGGAGCTTGTCCCTAGCTTAAAAAGGTTGGATGCACTGCTCCACAATACCTTGTCATCTTCTTTTGCAGCCACTGAATATGACTGTATAAGGAAGAACATTTGTGTCTCATGTCTATTGTAAGGCTAATCAAATTTACAGTTCAATTCTAGGGAGTTAATGCTATTGGGGATTTGGATGAGCTGAGGTTGGGTCATTACAAAATTTCAGCTGTGTTTAATGCTAGTTAAACTGCTTTATCATTCAGAAGGCAGACTATAATTCTTCCTTAAAAACTACTTTCCCCCCAAATAAATGAAAATATATTGCTACACTGTATTTTTCTCAGCTTGTATTTTTACAGCTATTTCTATGTCAGCAAATAGCAATTTCAGAGCAGAA